GTGTCATCGTGGAAACTCGAGTCTCATGAACGCATGGAATGATATGTCTGAGATGCGTTTGTGTGGATGATGAGCGTAGTCATCCACATCAAGCCCATCAGAGAAAAATCCTGCCAAGATTCCACAAGCCTAGTTGAAATCTGACCCTCGCTGCCCACCAAGGAAAGGACCTGATGAGACTGACCCTCGCTGCCCACCAAGCTGCCAGCACAAGGCCTCGGTAATGCATTAATTTCCGAGTTCCACCCTTGGCTCATATCAGTCGTTCGCACCACTTGGCTGGACATCGCTCGATCTCCTGAACGATCAGTGCCGCTGCTCACTGGGTCTTCGCGCCTTATGTGCTCGCTCACGTTTCATTGACCACCTCCGAAGCGAAGACCGAGCCCCTCAGTTTCCTTAGAACAAAACAAATATTAACCAGCACTAGCTAGTAGAAACAGGAGGCAAAGGGTCTTAGTTTCAAGTGCTGGCAACACAGAGAGGACACAAATGAACGATGAGACTGCTTACAAGGGGACTTGGTGACTGGCTTGACAATGACAAAAGGAAGGGAAGCTACCTTGAAGAGCTGACTAGGGGCCGACAGGGAGGACAGACGTACTGACAAGACACCAGCAGGAGGACAGCAAATGCGGTTGGACATGAGCTAAGAGGTGAGGACTGGGACTGACATGGGTGGTGGCAAATTCTAGTCACTCTAATCCTTAAGTTACACTGGGGACCTAAAGCCAGTCTTACAAGGAGTGAACAGCAGCAGAGACCTTGTTTCTGGGCTCCCGCTCTGAGGGGACCGAATGCATGCTGGTGGTGCTCCACACCTGCCCAGCACTGCCAACCTGTGCTCTCCTGAGAAACGGGGCTCCTTGCCTCCATCTTTCCCTGACCGTCACTTCCACCCGATTCACTGGGATATGCAGAGCTGGCTGTGTAGAAGCAGATGTTCCCTTCATGGGCTAAAAGCACGTGATCACGTCTGGCGGAGGTGCAACGTGTCAACACAGCACACAGCTGAGAACTGTGTCCCCTGCTGATGGCTGGAACGGGGGCTCCCGTGAGAGCCTGTCAGATCCCAGGGCTAGGACACGAGGTAACACCTCAGCTGAGGCCACTGGACTCGGGAAGACTCATACCTTCTTGGCAGGAGAGGGGCAGCCCTGTGTTCATCAAGTGATTAGCGCTGCATCGCTAACTGGAGGCCGCCATGCCTGGTGCAAAGTTGCTTTGCTATTGGTCAAGCAATGGCCGTTACTCATCCGCATGTCTGACACTGGCAAAAGGATGTACAAAGGGCGGTACAGGCTACAGGATAAATCCTGAGAGTACCTGGCTGACCTTATCAGATACAAAAGTTACATTTCTTGGTATACAGGTCTTGCTATATCCTGGTCTTAACCATCCAGCAGAAAAGTATAAAAACGAGGTACATAAAGTGAAGCCATATTAATACAATGAGTTGTAAAAGGCTCAAGTCAATAACTTCTGAGGATAACCCACTAATATTATAGGCTGCTACAGTGTTGGATTGTTTAGCTGAATTCAAACACCTATAGTATACAGATGCCAACAGAATATTTACCTGACAATAAAAAAAAGAAAGGAATGATCATTTTGTATTTATATATACAAAATAGGATAAATTTACAGCTACTTTCGCTTAATTCAAAGAGAAGAAAGAGGTGTACTAATAGTGTTTGGACAGAATATCCTGTCTGCTTCTTGTACTATGGATTACCACTAAGAAGCTAACAATGTTCAATGTGTTGATTATCAAAACTGTCCTATTAAAATAAATAAGGGAGGAAAGAGGCTGACCAGCCCTTGTTGTTTTGGTGCTTTTGCTGTATTCTGCCACCTTGAACTGTTGCCCTGTACCATGCCACCTTGCCTTGGAGCCAGATAATCATGTCCTGAAAGCTTCACCAACTGCAAGCTAAATAAACCTTCCCTTCCTTAAAAAACAGAAGTTGCTTTGCTTCTGCTTCCAGCCAAGGCCTCAGTTCTCCTCCCCAGCCCCTGCCGGCCCCACCCATACCAGAAAAAGCCGTTTCCAGAATCTCCACAGGCCACGCGGGAGCCCAGAGCTTCCCAGCCGCAGGATACTGGCTCATCTGCGTCCGTGTGTCATACTGCTGAATGGGAGACCCGACCCCTCCCAGGGGGTCTTGGTGGCACTACTCGGCTCAGGGAAACTGTCCTTTATCCAGGAATGGAACTGGAGCGGGAGTTGCGCTACCTGTCAGAAATGGAGAGTGGAGGGCGCGCTCCCTGCAACGTGCTGGCACAGTCCACTGGCACGTGGTTTTTCTCTCAGACATGAAGAGCTTCCACGCAGAACCACATACATACCGAAGTACTGGCAGCTCATCCCGGGACACGCAGCTCTAAGATACTTTATGCTCCTTTGGCTTTGTTCTGGCCTCGTAGCTATGGTGCACGGAGATAAGGCCTAAATGGAAGTCCCTGAAATTCTTTGAGCAGCAGCTTAGGATGAGACAAGGTGCCCCGACTTCTCCAACATTCCAACTTTAGGCCAGGAAACTGGGGTCACGCTCCAACTCTCACCACCAGAGGTCTCTGTTGCTCAGGAGCCACCACTAGGAAGCCACCCGGGATCACTGCCCTTGGGTTGCAGGGCACAAATCCCGATTCTCAAGTCCTTCACCTAAAAAGGCACGGCTGGGCCGGCCAGAGAGCTCAGCAGACCTGCTTGGCAGGGCGCAGCGGCCGGTTCCATCCCCTGCATGCCAGGCCGGCCGTCCCCGACTCGGGCTGGGCGTGGTGGCGCTGGCCTGGAATCCCAGCGCGTGGGAGGCTGAAAACAGGATGATCACTTCAAGTCCGATCTGGTAGTGAGACCTTGTGGACCCTGTACTAAATACAAAAAATAGTAAGTAGAATGGCATGGTGTTCATTTGCATGCAGCCTGTGGAGGATGTCCTCTCGTATACTTCCTGGAGCGCATAAGGGAGAGAACTTTATATTATGTTCGGGGATTGTGGTACGAAAATCTATGTTCAGGCAATTTAAAACAAAACAGCTCTTGGTGCGTGGCTGCGGAACCTGCAGATACGGGGAGGCGGCGGTAGCTTTCTCGCAGGGACAGGGCTGCTGAATTTAGAGCGCAAAGCCTAGTCTGACCATCCAACAACGCTGAACACTTACACAAGCCAGGCTGCACCGCAGGCGCGGGGACGAAGCGCGCCGTCCTGCCTCCAGCACAGCACGGCGGGGCGGCAGGGGTGGGCAATCACGCGCCACGCCCGCACACCCTGCAGGTGGACAACCCCGGCCCAGGTCCTGCCGCGTCACGCACCGAGCGCTCGGCACGCGTCGTGTGGTCCCTGCCCAAGGCCGCCTCGCTCCCCGTCCTGCCGATCCCGAGAAGGCTGCCGCGGTGCTCTCCGCACAGCATCACCCGCTGTTTCCTAGAGCACTCTGCGCGCGGAGCCAGCCCTCGCGCTGCACGCTGCATTTCACCTACGACCCACGGCACTGGGCTCACGGCCATCACGCAGAAAACAGCCACTCGGCCAGGAGCGGCAGAACCACGAGCCCGGGTCTCCTTCAGTAGGACACAGCAGCACATCCCTTGAGCCACTTCTAAGGGCTCCACGACCAGACGCCGTCGGGCGCCGCCTAACCCCGCGCTCCCTTAGGGGAGGCCCACGCCTTGGCTCTGGACTGGGAGGGCTCCGGTCCACTAAGACCGCACTCTACTCATCACCCTCTGGGGCAGGCGTGGAAAAGGAGCATCTATCTGGGCAAAATCCAGATCTCACTGATTAGAACGATTTTCTGAAAATGTAAGGAATAAAGAACATCAACCAAAAAGGCCAACATCAAGACTAGTACTACTGAAGTTACAGGACTTTCACTTCACAAACACCCAAGCAAAACCTAAAACCAAATCATAAATTTAGAGAAGACTTCATGACATAGGCTTCTCACTGCAATATTTGCAATATTCCCAATGAAACCATACACTGAGATTTTCATTATCTAAATTGTTTACTGTCTAATGGCTACAGATGAACACCTTTGAATGTGTAAAAACACAGGACTTGTTCCCGATGTCTTTTATTTCCTTTAATTCATGTTTCACAAGTATCTTTCACGGAACCATTAAATCACTGAATTCTGCCAACCAAGAGATTACTGGGACTCTGGAGAGAAAGTGGACCATAATTAAAGGAGGAACCTCCCAAAGCGCTCCAATTTCGGACGCCTGCTCCTCTAAGGCCTCTTTCACAAGGCACAGACCGTCCAGCTGCACCTCCTGTCTATTTAAAGCCAAGAAAACAGGTACTAGCATCCCATATTCCTAACACACTGTTACAGAGCCACGCTGACCTCGGCTAGACAGGACCCACAGGAGTCAGCAAGCTGAGGCTCTCACTTTACAGACAGGGAAAGACCAAGAAATCCCTGGCATGGTCCCGGCGACACAGGCATCATTAGCGAGGGAAGACATGCTGCGAGGGCTTGTGCAACTGAATTCACTCCGGTAACTGTGGGGCCAGCCCTTAAATCCCTAACACTGGTTGGCACTACCACATTACTTGACATTCCTGGGATTTTCTTTTAAAAAAATGCTTTAAAGCTTTCTTCAAGGACCATCTCATCTGATGTAAGTGGCAGTGGGGTATCAAGCACTGGCCTGGCTCAGGCCACACAGTGTCACGCACACAGCTGTCGGCTGCGCTGCCAGGTCTGGCGCAGCTCTGCCCCTGCCTGGCCAAGGGGCGGATGGCGAGCTGTCGCGGCTGCTCTCGCCTCGTCTCGCCCTGAGAAGCTCCTGGGCGATCGTGAGGAGGCTCTGTGACAGCAGCCCAGCGTAGCACTGGGCGAGTGCCGTCAGGCGTCAACCACCGTCTCCACTTGGCAGCTATCTTACCTGGGGCTGCCACGGAAGGGAAAAAAGGCTGTTTCCTGGGTGCCAGCTTATGTGCCCCTCTGCAGAATAATTCACTTTTCCACACTGAAATAAATACAAGACATTTGATGTATTCACCCACTTTAATAACATGACAGATACGATGTTGTCACCACGGAATGTGAGTTCAGGTTAGGTAAGAGGTTCTGCGAGCGTTCACAGCCATTCTGGGGTACAGCAGAGCTTGTGCGTCATGCCGGACCAGCCAGCTCACCACTAAACCACTCACTGCTTGCACTCTGAGTAAAGTGTTTTAACATTCATAATTCTTACAGAGAAACATACTGCACACATTTAAAAAGTAGTTCTTTATCTGTGCCTTAGCACTTAAGGTAAATACTTCTATTTCAAGATGACATTTAAAAATTATTCTAATACAACAGCAGCAAAAAATATAATTCTACAAGTATAAAAGAGCTAAACTGCAATTCATAGTTATGCTAGTCTCGTGCTTACAAGTGTGATTCTGAAATAAACATGACTTCAATGCAGCGCTCATGTTAGTATTCGAGGTTGAGCACGCACGCACGCACGGACATGTCAGCTGTGGGAGGCTCTAAGCTACAGCTCACATGTACTTTGAAAGAGTTCTTCCAGAGCCAGCCAGTCCTAAAAACCAACTCGTCACCCCAGTCCACAAGGCAGACAAGGACAAACTGCAGTAACTGGGGTCAACGGGGCTCCTACCCAACATGCAGGGCGTGGGACACTCGGCAGCAGAGCAGAGGGCTTCAGGGCTGGCCAGCGCAGGAGGAGCTGTCATGAGGGGCGAGGGAAGGTGGACTAAACGCTATCCAGTGCACAGACGTGACCTTTCTGGAGCCTGAATGACACAGTTAGTGAAGCAGTCACCACTAGCGTGGTTATCAAGGCTGCGAGGAAGAAATGTTATTCCAGATACTATAATACAGTTTGAACCAACTCAAAGGATTTATTTTTGACACAAATACGTAACCTCAACATGAGATGTCTAACTGCAGCAAGCGCTTCCAGAGTTCAAGGCAGCGTCTCCTCTTCTAGGGCTTAGGCTTTGCCCAGAACTCCCGATACATGGAATAGCCCATCCCTGCAGGAGAAGACACTCGTTAAGCACTGCGGTATTTCCTCCAGCATTCAGAAAACAAACCAGGCGACAGAACAGCTCATGGGGGTCCCCTAAAACAAGCCAGCACAGACTGCTGAAAGGGCAGCGAAACCAAGGAGCATTAATCATAGTGTTTGTGTTCCTGAACAGCTTAACTTTCGGGAACTCCTTTTATAGTAGCTGCAGCTTTGTGAGAGGAGTCTGACTCGCTCAGTGTTACAGTATTTGTTTTAAAGAACCATGAATGCCTGGCATCTGTAAAAGGAGCCGATCGTGTCATTTAACACCAGATAACACAGGATGATGACAGCAAAAGGTGTTAGCACCCACACTAACAAACCTCTTTCCTACCTTCAAAAACTCAGTAAATGCCAAGTACGTGTCTTTCTCAGCAAGCTGCCCTCAGACACACTCCCAAGGAAACTGAGCCAGTGGGGTTTTTCCTTTCTTGAAGTCTTAGTAGTAGAATGTATCATCTCTCTTCCCCTCTCTCTATACATCCTAACATATTTATTATAGTAAAACTATTTTAATTTACTTTTGCATGAAAATAAGTGATATATCTCAACGGCTGCAGTGGCGACTGCCACCGTCGGCTAGGTCCTGCCTATGAAGAACCGCACTGCCTGCAGATGTGCAAATCTCCGCGGGAACCTACCAAGGGTCATTGCGCCCACAACGAAGCCTTGGGCTGCCACGCGCATGTGGATCAGGTGCACGGACATTTTAGTGTTTCCCCTGCTCTTCAGTTTGTATAATCCATACGCGACAATTGCTGCGAAGCCTGCCATTCCTGTAAAAGACACAGTCACAAGGGCGTTAATGTGTGGGCAGAGGAAACCAAGCTGCTTTTGCCATTAATCAATTTACTTTCTATTATTTTTCAGAGGGCTTACAGGACCACTAATTAATTAATTTACAGAGCTTTTAATATTTTCTCCTTCAAAACAAAAATCTGTAACTCACAGCCAGCAGTAGCATACCCCGCAAGTCAGTATTATCTTTCAAGATGTGGGGTTGCACCACGATGCCTCTAACCTCAGCACACTGGGAGGCTGAGGCAGGAAGATGGCAAGTTCTGGACAACTCAGAGACTGAGCCAGACCCCGTCTCAACAAAACAAAGCAAAACAAAACACCCCCAAACAACAACAACAACAAACCCAGCGTAGGTGTCTGTGAACTGTCCAGGTAAATCCCTCCAAAGCCCCCAGGAATCAAGCTAATTCATGATCACTACAGCTGCGAGGGGTCTTCGGTCGGGGAGGACTGTGCAGCTCTCGCCCCGTTCTGCCCCCTCCCTGAAGGCGACCAGACAGTGCAGACCGCCCTGCACACGGCGTCGCCCACACAGAACCACGGCCCATTCACCTTGAAGGCACAGACTACTCACAGCACGGCTGTGTGCTTTCAACGTGCCCCGTGTGCGTCCTCATACCAACACCTAGAGGAATAATCTGGGCAAAGGGAAAGAGCGAACCAAAGTAGCGCAAGAAATAAAGGCACTGGCTGGGCACAGTGGCACAAGCCTGCAACTCCAGCATTTGGGGGGCTGAGCAAGAGGGCCAGAAGAGCTCGACCTTGGAAGCCTGTTAAAAAATTAAGAGAAGGAAAGAAGAAAGGAAAGAAGGGAGGGAGGGAGTGCAGTGAAAAAGGTGTAATATAATGACATAGAATGGTGAGCTAGTGAAATCTACACTGGTTCCTTCAAAATGAGTATAATAGAGACAAACTCATGGTAAAAATTAACCTGAAATTTAAGGTTTTGGTTGTTACAACAAAATATTAATGCTAAAAGTCTTGAGTTAGGAAATAAATGTATTTGGTACAGGGTCTCGCTACACAGCTCAGACTCCCGCTGATCTTCCTGCTTCAGCCTCCCCAGCAGAGGGATTACAGGTGTGTGCTACCACTCCAGGTCTCAGCTCCGGGGCGGGGCTGGCGGAGCCTGGGGTGCCAGGGATTGAACCCCAGTCCCGTGCTTGCCTAAGCAGGCGCTTAGTCCGCTAGCTCACCAGCTCTTGTGTTCATCTTAATCCCAGAAATGTTGTAAATCCTATCCTCCAAAAAATGTAAAAATAATCACTAGCAGTACTGGAAGAGAACTTCCAAATCATCACAAGAAAAATACAAAAGCAAATGGATCAAGTATAACAGAAAATATGAAGTAGATAGTAGAAGAAAAACTTGACAGAACTTACTAGGAGAAATATGAATGGAGATTCACTTCCTTTACTGAATTCAAACCAAACCAAACCTGGACATACATATTATACAGGGGACAGAAGTATGACACTGAAGAGTTAAAAAGCTTAAACTTCTAAATATTCCAATCAACAGAACAATGGCATACATCAAGCAAAAACAGCAATACAGGCACAGTAGAAGCAGGAAAAAGGTACTGTCTCTTTTAGAAAACAGGAGTTGAATGATACCATTATGTAAACTTCAATGTCAGCTTTAAAATAAGATCTAAAATCTTAATTTACAATAGAGATCACATCTTCTTTCAAGCAACAGAGTAAAACACAATTAAGTATTAAGACACAACTTTCAAATTCCAAAGACTATAATCTGAAGGCAGCGTCCACAGAATCTAAAGCCAAGCATCAAAAACAAAAGTCAGACCCACGAAGGTCCGTATTCTAGCTGGGTCTGGGCGTGAAGGCCGAACACGTGCAGCGAGGAAACGCTCGGGCTGCCCGGGACCGCAGCGCAGCGCAGCGCAGCGCTGGGGACGCGCACCCGCCGCCTCTGGGCAGTCGGCTTAAAGGCTGACCACTGGGAGGGAGGCCCCGAGCCCAGCGGCCGAACCCCAATTCCCGCCCCGCGGGCTTCCGGCCTCTACTCTCCCGGCCGGCCGCAGGCACCCTGGACGTCTTCTGAAGTCGTGAGACCTTTCTCTCGCTTGGGTCTACCGTTCTTCTGTGGCTTTTTCTGTCTTATGCAAATATTTAGGACTCCAAGCCATAGCAGCACATTCGCCCGCATCCCTGGCTGACACCTGACTTAAAAAGGAGTGTGACTCGTGTGTCAACACTACATGTAATCAGTATTTGCTTTTGATGTCTAGAGAGAACTCTATTCTAATACGCTGATTTTTAAATCGCTAGAGACAACTGTGTCATTTTATTTTTTTAACATGTCACAAGCCCTTCATGGGCACTGCATGTCTACATGACTGGCCTCAGAAACTCTGAACACAGGCATGTTGGGTGCCCTGGGGCCCAGGGCCTTTGTCACCCCGTGTCACTCCACTGGGAGGGGCACGTGGGAGCTGGGCTTCGTTTCCTACCCTGTAGACTTTCACCTGTAGCCTTTTGCTCTAATAAACCATAAGCATGACCTTAACGAGAGTCTCAGCCTGTCTGGAATCCCCAAAGCATCATTCTCTGAAAACAACACAAATTGCCTGAACAGACAAAGGATTTTCATGACAGGCTTTGTATCACGCCAATCACAGCGGATTTGAACATTAAAAATGTGAAAATAAATTCTTTCAGGTTATGTCCACTGAACACGTTCACTTTGTCTTTGCTCCTTGGGCAGGGCGGCACAGCAGGCCAAGGCATCGAACTTCCAACCCCGATGTCTGCCTAAGCAGGCCCTTTCATCTGCTATCTGGCTGGCCCTTGTTTTTATTGTTTCAGACATACAGCACACTTACTACTAGACCGTCAAGGCCAAACATACCAATAGGGACAAACGGTGCTTCTTTAGCCTTTCGGATAAGTTTGGATCCCTGGTCTTCATCATATGAAGAAAGAGAAACATCTGTGTTGCTTGACATGGTAACTGCTTGAAGACTCTTCCTGAAAGAGAGCTGCCACAAGCTTCAGCGATTATAGTCACTTAGAACATTATTAAATATCTGAATGAACTCAAAACATTCCTAATCTCCATGAAAAATCTGATGTGTTATCCATGAACTTCAAAAAATATATTTTAAATGCATTTAGTACAGGATGTACAGGGTCTCACTACACAGATCAGACTCCTAGGGATCCTCCTGTTTTCAGCCTCCCAAAGCGCTGGGATTACAGGCGCGCACCACCACGCCCAGTCCCAACCTCAGCACGCCATGGGGGCAGGGCTGGCACGGCATGCCGGGATCAAACCCTGGCCACTGCGCTCTGCCTAAGCAGGCGCTTTAGTCCTCTGACCTATCTGGCCAGCCCTCAAAAAGTATTTCCTGGATGAACTATCTTCAATCTACAGACACCTTTACAGTTATATATAATCCCTCTTAAACTTACTGTGTTAAAGAGTTTAATTTTCTTAAAAGTTACTTTCATCAGTTACATTACCAGTTATCAATTTCCTGGCCCTCTTCCATTCCACTCCGCTTCACCCTGACAGCTTCTAGCTACCCAAGCCCGGCTCTCGACAGCGGGCGCGGAACCCCACTGGCTGTAACGCGGAACCCCACTGGCTGTAACGCGGAACCCCACTGGCTGTAACGCGGAACCCCACTGGCTGTAACGCGCAGCCTCGCGCACACCGCGCCGCTCTCGGCAGCTGACTGCCTTCGCTTCTCATGCCTGGTCAGCGCGCCCTGGTCTCTAGGATCGATGTCACTCGCCTTCTGGGATATGCGTGTCATTCATAGGAGCCCAGGAATGCCTGCCACGTGCATTTCTTCCTCTTAGGGACAAGGATTAATTTCAAATCATGTTGCTAGACATGGTTCCCTTTAAATATGCTGTTTAACTGAATAAACCATATACCTCTGGGGTCACCACGCACCACAGCAGCAGAAATGGAAGTGCCTGCGACTCTTCAGCAAGAGTCTCCTCAACTACAGATTTGCTCTTTTATGGATCTTTCTCACATTTCCATGTTCCCTCAAATTCTCTCTTTTTTTTTTTTTGTGGAAAAAAAAGCCCCTGGGGAGGGGGACGTGGCAGGGAGCACCTTCACAGAAAATGCAGCTCCAGGGGCTGGCGGAGGGAGGCACGTGCAGTTCGAAATCATCACCCCATGCCTCAGCTCCACTGAGGAGCATCAGTGCTGGCTTCCAACAGAGAAGAAAACCTTAGCTGGGTAAGGGAAAAAAATTCAGAGAGGACCAGATCCTTGCTGTTTGTATTCCATTACTTCCTAAATGACTAAACTCTTACTCAACTTTTATCATGCATAAGGCTCAAGGTTCGGGATGCTCCTATTTGAAAAACTAAAGCACAAATACAAAAGTGATTAATGATTCAAAAACTAGATACTGAAAAGACGGCGTGATTATCAGCATGACAATAAGAACTGAATTTACATGGAACGCTATCTGTAGCTGGTTTTGAGAAGTTTCAGAGAGAAGGGTTTGCGCGGTGAACTGAAGAAACTGCCTCAGCGGCCTAGCTGGCGGCCCGCACGGGACCCAGGCAGGCCTGCGGCCGGCCGCAGAGCTCCTCAGCTGCGGCCGCTCAGCACACCCGCTTCCTCTCCTTGCCACCCCCACGCCCCCGTGAGATGCTCCCTGCCCCAAGCCTCTGACCAGACGACCGCAGTTTCCCTGCATGGCCAGCTCTGCCCCCAGGAACTTTCCTGGCTAAGTGCTACTTTTTCAGGTTCGCATCTCAACTGGCCTCTGAAGTCCTGTTGATTTCCCAGGCTTCTGCTAAGTGTTCTGATTATGCGCTCCTTCACTACCCATCACAACTACTTGTTTAACTCGCTCCTTTACTGGACTCCTGGCAGTCAGGGCCTCTACTCGCTCTGTTCCTGTCCATCCCCACGACCTGCTGCAATGCCCCGTATGCAACAAGTACCACAAAATGTGTACTGGACACATTTGAAGAGTTCAGTCAGTTAAAAAGCCAGATTCCACATGTTCAACTGCTTTTTAAAATACAAGTTTTACATTCCGTCTATGAAAAAAGAAATGATAAAGTGAGTAAAAGTCTTGGATCCTTGCAA